CGTTCCATGCCGAAGGTTTCCTCGTACCTACCTTCACGAGGCGCAGATGGGAAAGAAAGGGCAAAACTGTAATTCTGGCTAAATTAGTAATCCCTGACTGCCACAAACTATGACAAAGTGCTTTTGGTTGCCATTTGGGATGCTGTGTTCTGCTCCTGCGTTCTTTTCCCCTTCCCCCTTTCTCATTCCGCATTTTCCCTTTACCTTCATTTTTCTTTTCTTTTTTTCCTTTTCGGCTTTGTTGGCATCCAATTAGCTTAGCATTTGAAAGCTCTTTTTTGCGGCTCTGTGACCTTTCCGTGGATAGTTTAGTCCGACATTCGCTATTGCATGGTCGAAAGGCACTGTTTGAGTGACTGGCACGTAGGCAAATTGCAGTCCAGATCGTAAGTAATCGCGTTTGTATGTATCGCATCCACGCTTACGCTTTCATCACCTTTTCAGCCTTCTACCGTAACCGAGTCATCCAAGATGTTAGATCCTGCCTGAAATGAAAAATGGGATAGATTGTAGGTTGGAGAGTCTGATGCCAAATCTCATCTTCTATCGCCACTACTTTTCTCCGACCAAAGAGAATTTGGAGGGTAGAGCGGAAATGTGTGTGGAATCAGCAGTAGGATGTCTGTCCTATTGACTGCTGCACATTTGAAATGTTCAAGACTACCTGTTGTCACCGCAACGTACTGACCTGACCTCGACGTCACAAATGTGTGACGTGTGATGATGCTCATTTTAGCATGAAGGGAAGCCACAAAACAAGGTGCCTCAGGAGAACACTCAGCGACACCACAAAGCAGCTGCCTAAGGCTATCTCACATTAACTTCGGTTTTGTTTATGCTCTCAGCGAGCCAAAAGAATTTTGGAGGAAGTCTCACTTGATATTACGACACGTCAGCAAAGTCACGTGTCACTTGCGCTCCATTTCAATGAACTGTATTACAAGCCTTCCATCACCAATCTTCCACCTTGCTGACATTCCAACTACCCAATTGCATGACATGACGCCTGGACACTTCCTCATTCATTCCGTCGGCGAGGATGCTCTCCTGTCCACTTGAGCAGAGTACGTGTATTTTAAAGCCAAAAAGCTGCGGAGGTGATGGCCGTAGTAGAGTGGAGTTGGATCAAATCCTTTTCTTTGTGCTGTTACTCCTGTCCTATTGACGTGACAATTGAGTGGCCACCAACTATACGTGGTAATGGTGTCGGCATGTACATTCCTCTCATTTCCAAATTTTTTTACAAATGCACATTTGCACATGTGACCTCAAAGCAGATTCAAATTCGGGGCTGTTCGGAGAGATGTTCAGCACATAAATACTCCCAAGGCTTAGCGGTGAAGATGGACTAAGAGATAAGGAGGCACTGGTGGTTGGAGAGATGCATTGCTAGGTGGGTGAATGAATGGAGGGATGGGTGACTGTATA